CATCTGTAGACAATTATATTCCCATGTTTGACATTATAGGAATCCTCCCTGTTACAATGTCATAAATGATCCTGTGAAAAAGTACAACAACACTTTGCAGAGCACAGTTTGCACCTGAAGAAACACCACTTTGAAGGAGGGGATTGGGTGCAAGTGTGTAAAAAACTGGAGGTGTCTATCTTTCACCAGCAGGGATCAGATCAACCTCGACTTCCTGACCCTGAGCTGGAAGTATTCAGAATGGCGACCATGAATGAGAGCTCTGTTGAACCAGAGGGACTGTGTGTGTGTATTTGTGTATGAACCATGTGGGCCATTACGAGGGTGAAAAGGTTAGTGCTGTTTCAGTGCTTAGCCTTTTTTCTTGTAAAAACTTGATTAAGTTTCCTAGAAAAAAGTATAGGCGGAGAAAAAGAAAACACATGTACAAACATAACATAACATAACAACAACAGAAAGCTGAGCGTATAGGGCAATACTTCAAATATACTGCCATGCATACTCTGTCTGATTCTTTCTGTGAAGTTTGATTATGCGTGTGCATTTAGTTTGTTATTGTGTGAACAGATCCATATGATCAGCTATGGGTCCAGGGAGGGGTCTGTGGCCTGCTTGGTGTTAGCCTGTCTGTGCTGAGGTTAGCAGGAAGTTCCCACAGACCCACTGAGTCTAAACACAGCTGTCTGGATTTGTGTGTGTGTGCATGCATGTGTGTGCGTGGGTTTGAAAGGCAATTATAGGGCTGGAGGTGGGGCGGAAAACAAGGGCAGTGAGGTCGTTGGTGAAGTTTAAGGGGGAAGGGGTTCCTGGATCTTTGCATAGAATCGTAAGATCTGCAGTGACTGGCAGTGTTGAGAATTGTGACTAAACAAAGCCCTGTTTTGTCTCCTGGATTCAGCTCTAACTCAACCAAAACAAGTTTGGCAAAGCAGCCTGGATTACAGCTGGCATGAGATCGGAACGCAAATAGGAGATTTAAAAACTAGTTCCACATTCCCTGCTATATCTACAGAGGCGTGGTTCAGATATTTTTAAGTTGACTCCCAGTTGACACTATCTCTCGACACATTGTCTTAGCAGGGGGTGCAGTCTTAACCAGGACTCCATAATCCCCCTACCAGCTGGTCATTTCTGGAACCTTCAAAGCTTATTATTGATTATTTGTCACTTAAAATTGTCATTGTTCGCAATTTTCTTTTACATTTTTTGGGTGGTTCTAAGAAAATAGGTGGATTAGTGGAACAGTCATCAAGGAAAATGCGTGATTTTTTTTATCCTCAGAGTATACAAGCGTATTTTATTTTACTATAAGCATGTAACAGTTGTTTACATTTACCCACACTGCCTATATTTATATTACAGCATTTATATTTATATTGCACCATATGTTTGCTCACTATTTTTCTGTACCTGTTTTCATATCTGCACATTCCCCTTTTTATAGATGACAATAAATTCCCATCTTATCTTATGAATAACACTGGCTAGACTTGACCTGAGTGCGGGGGTTGAGGAGCTTGAAAGAAACAGTTGTGGCAGAAGTTGGAGGGTGGGGGAGGGTTAATGTGCAGAGCTGGGCGTAAACAAGGGGGCCGGGCTCTTTTTTGGGGGGTCCAGTATCTGATAAGAGATAGTTTAGAGGAATGGTAACAGCCTACAGACTCTCTCAGATATGTTTGTGTAAGGACAGCGGTAAGCTTGATCCAGGACATATTATGGCCTGGGTGGATATCAGAGGGAAACTGAAGATTTTAAAGAATATATTTACAAAAATAATGCTAAAAAGAAAACTCTTGGGAGAGAAAACATTCTGCTTGGGACAAAATGGCTCTGATATAGTCTCAATCTATCTAATACCTCTTTATCATATCTCTGTCATAACATCAATGTTGAAGCATGTCAAATTGTAAGCCTGAAAAGTCATCTTAGCCAAGTGTCACCCAAATGACTGTACTACAGCCACGCATGTATAAAAGTGTTTGCACAAACTGATTCAGCATGACAAGCAAACTTATTTTGGATGTGTTCAATCAGATAAATAACCACGGTAAATATATGCATCAAAAAAGAAGCTGCAAAGTTCACTCACGACTAGAGAGAGGAAGCAGCTTTATGCTCAGTGCTGCCACTGCTGACCAGAAGGTGTATTGCAAAAACACTCAAAGGAGAACAGACTATACTGCAATATCACCTCTGACCACCAGTGGGCTTTGTGTAGGATGTTACTACATGGAGTGTATGAGTCATGTTTGAGTCAAGTTTGGTGCAGAGGTGGATAAAGGGCCTCTTGGGTTTCGTGCGGAGACACAATTAATATCAGGACAGCTGAGAGCCTATGCATATTGTGTCATAAACTGAAAACCCACCTGTTTTGCATCTTGGCCATCAAATAAAAAAAGAAAATGGTTGCAGTTACAAGGTTTAGCCTGTTTGAAGCTAATGCGCCAGCACTTCAGATGTTTTGGCTTAATTGAAACAGATGTAAATGCATGTTTGCATCTTTGGTCATCTCTGGTCAGCTGAACCACAGGGTAAAGGTTTATTGTGTAAGTTTGTGTACATTATGATGTGTTAAGCAGTGGTCAGCAGTAACTGTGTTTGCTGTGCAGTCAACATCAGAGATCTGGTTTGCAGGGTATGTCATTTAAGAATTGAGTGTGTTTTAGTAACAGAAGACCAAGCTAATATGAAACGCATTTACGTCAAAAAGTTCACCCTAAGTTGAGGAGTTGTTTTGCAGCAAACAGAAGCAGGAGGGTGGCTTGATCAGGGTCGGAAAGGGCAGAGGTAAGGGGTCAGAGGTCACATCGAGGCAAAGCAAAATAAAGTTAAGCTTCTTTGAGAGCGAGCTCTTTTGTTTTGTGCACAGATTTATTTTGGGAAGCATGCAGAGAGAGGGGGAGAAAGAAAATAACTTCTTCTACTCTAGGAAAACAAAAAATCACCCCCTTCTCCTGTTTCGTGTGAGCCCGCTATCCCTCATAGTCCTCCTGCGTTTGTGCAGCTCTGCCCTCAGGCTCCCACGGGATGTATCATCATCATAGGTTTATGGGATGGAATATATGTTGATAAATAATGCACCGTACAGCGTGTCTTATATAAGACGAGCTGGAGCCGATACACTCCCACACTTCATCTCTCGCGGAAACACAGGAGAGGAGATTCAGCCTACATCACTACACACTCTCTCTCACACACACACACACACACACACACACACACACACACACACACACACACACACACACACACACACACACACACACACACACACACACACACACACACACACACACACACACACACACACACTTTAAAGCATCTAACTGCACGCATAAAGGGCCACATGCAATATTCTGTATAAACTATATGTAACAGCTACCAAACAAATGCTCTCCCTTACACAAACACACATGGGGATATGGGATGTCAGAGGGATGTCGTGCAAGGGGCTCCGATGAGATCAGAGGGGGAGCATCGGCACCTTTTTTTCATTTAGTGGGAATAAGGAAGAGCTCTGTGACGGGGAATCAGAAGGTCAGACCACTGGTAAACCTTGAGAGGAGTCGTGTACTTTGTGAACAGAAATACTCCAAATGATAGTGAAAGTACATGTCAGAGTTGTCTACTGCTATGTGAAAGTGTAGATGGAGGGCGGAGATATTGAATGTTAACGTACTCTGAGTAAGGGGGAGTAAAGACTTTGTGTGAGCTTTTTGCGTAGGTTGTGTCCATCCTGTTATGGTAAGTTGTAGCGGAAGTGGATAAAAAGTCAAATGTACAAACTGTACATAAATGAACACAGAAGGACATCGTAAACATAATTCATAATCTTTCAACTGATACACACATACATATAAGCCCACACATAATATACACACACTCATATTTGGCGTATGTTAAAGTGTTCAAATAAGACCAAGTTCTTATTTAGCTTCTTTTTTTTTTTTTACAGAGCAAAATCAGGTGCTGGGGTTGTTGACTTTAATGAAATAGATAGAAATTGATCTATTAAGAAACAACTTCAAACATATACTGTAGCCTAGGAACAACAGCAGGACACAAAACTAAATAAGGCAATGACGCCCTCTGCTGCTCAACATAAAGACTCTCTCTTGCACAATATGACAGCATGGTCCAGTTTAGTGACACTTGAGAATATTAAAACAAGTAGAGGATAACACGATGAAGGAATTGCACAAGTTGTGAGTCACTGGTTAAAAATGACTGAAGAAAATCATATTAAAAGATTAGCTGAGTCCTAAACGACACAGTAGAGGTGAGCCCTATTTTATGGACTGAATAATATTTTCCTTTGCTCTGTGCTCATTACAGTTTGAAGGTTGTTTAAAAAGATGCACTGAATATCGTATAAAGAACAATTACAAACATAGCTGCAGAAGTTTTTGAAATGAATTTAATTGATTGCCAATTATAAGTATGGTTCAGCCATAAGATGGTAATGCCAACCTTTAAATGCCGCTCATTAGTTGACATTTAGTTTTATAAATTTGTATTAAGAAAAAAAAACACAAGGTGTCACAGACTGTTTTACTTTACAAAATTGCTTCTTAAAGCTGTGAAGTACTACTGCTTAAAAGGCTTTTGTATAAACTCAAAGTAAGACTGGTGGGTGGGTAAGATTAGATTACACAAATGAACAATACAGGGTGTGGATTTGACTTCTTTGAATGTGGCTGACAGAAAGGCAAGATGAAACAGACTAATGATTAACTCCTAGGTACTGATTGCTCGGTTTGCATAGTGACGATGTCTACTGTGCTGTAAATGCAAATACAAAACGACATAGCAGTACTACTCAAAGGCACAAAGAAATAACGCTTTAATCCACTCACACACATACACACACTGCTAACAATATCATTTATTTTATGAAATTATATTATTTTTACAACGTTCATTTAGTTAGGGTCTTTTTATTCTCAAAGGCTCCTCTAAACAAATATTTACAAATTTCACAGTGAATTTGGTACATTTGGTTTAATATCATGACGTCTTCAAACCCTGTTAATAATAATTTTCTTACCGCAAACTCTTAAAGGAACAGCATAAATCACAAAGTCATGTTTGTTTAAAAACCAGGAATAAGAAAATGAGATTAAGGCATGGCGACAGGTTAAGGAAATGTGGCTTCATTTCCCTCGGCAACAGTGCAATAATGCAACACTATCAAGTCTTTGGGCCTCACCGATAGTAAGCCAATAATCAAAGGTAATTCCCTTTAAATCAGTGCTCTCTACCATCTAGTTCCAAACCACTGAATCCAGACTACATCATGGTTTCAATACGGAGGAATGGGTTCACAGCAGCGAGTGACTTTGTTGTGGTAGGTACGGTTGAAGCTTTGGGGTGAGAGCTGTAAGAATGACCTTTATCCGCTCAAACAAGTGTAACCACTTAAAGAGTCTCAATGGAACAGGAATGTATGGGAGGTGTAGGGGATGGGGGGGGTGGTGGTCCTTAGTCCTGCCTCTGAGGCACGCAGCCTTCCATCTCCAGCACCTCGGGCCATCCCTCAAACTTGTTGGTGTCTGCACTGTTCTTTATATGCTGGGGAGGGAAACACAACACACATCGTTTGTAACGTCAACTCCAATGGCTACTGTCTCCTGATCAGACAGGCCATGACAGAAATAATGAATGATACTGCCAGCCAGCTGATGTGAAGGGGCTGTTTTAACCAGCACCACACTAATGAAAGGCCAGCAGCAGCCTCTGAGTCCCAGGTGTTCTGGGATTTCACCAGCTCTTGTGTTCTCACAGTCATTACCATATTGCCTGCAGGATGGGATGTTTCCTCCAGGTAGTTTAAACAGAGGGCTGCCCTCTGATGCATTGGGTTTATTAGGTGTTACACATATTTCAATCTGTGTATTAGAGCAGTGGTTCCCAACCTGGGGGGCGCCCCCAGGTTGGCGCCAAAGATCGCAGAGGGGGGCGCCAGGCCTCAGATGATTTGAGGCCAAATATCATATTTAGACTTTTTTTTTTTTTTACATATAATTGTAACGCAAGACATGGTTGTCACTAAAAGCCTTGTCTCTACATTACAATAAAATATACAAAATAATTGATTAATTAATTTGAATAACAATTCAAGTTAGTAGCTATTAAAGGCATAAAAAGACAGAAATGTATAATTCTTTCTTTAATAGAAATGTTTCTTCTGCCCGTAAAGTGTCCAAACCAGGCTTTTCTGGATAAGCGCATTTTTTAAAAACATAGTCATTGTCCATGCCAGTTTAAGTTGGATTATTTGTCACAGTTGCTCCGATCAGATCGGTCTCCTCCATTTTGTTTGTTCTTATTTACAACTTTTGAATCCACATAAACACATCGGCAAAATCCGGCTTACTTTGAGCATGTGTTTTAAACAGTTGAATCCCTTTGTGAATTGTTTCCACTTCCGCGCCGTCCTTTAATTTCTTCATACATTCAACTGTTTAAAACACATGCTCAAAGTAAGCCGGATTTTGCCGATGTNTTGACCCAAGCTAGTGATTGAATTGAACTATATCACTGGGTTAAATATAAACCATACATTGGGTTTTTTATTTGACCCAAGCGATTGAAATTAACTATATTGTTGGGCTAAATAGAATATAATAATAATAATAATAATAATGTATAATAGTGTAATGAATTATCTCCAAACACACCGTATATATTTATATATAAAAAATGCATTTATTGATAATTTGAACAGCTTTGGCAAATCGCCAACATTCCATTTCCACTATAAAAGAACAATGCATTTTAGCACAATACAAATTCAAAAAAATACTATATCCGTTTGAATTCCAACCCTTCGAATGGGCAAGCTGCTGCCTCCAATCTGGTGTGCATACCGATTCTGATTCATACATACTGTAGCCTATATGTCACAGTGAACTTGAGAAATCAGACTAGGCAGAGGTGGAGGCCATGACAGCAAAGTGCAGTGGAAACAGACTTAGCGAATAAATCCTGACGTAACATGAAGCATGTGACTTAAACAGCTGAGGAGGATGTAACCTTCCTCACATTAATACATGAAACATGTCTTCCAAGTCCATCAACATTTCCACATTCTTCTCCCAACCTTTGAGGTTTGACTGGTGTTTTTTTTTTTAAATGGCATCGGTTCACAAGAGCGGCTGAAGAAATCCTACAGTCCAGCATGTATCTTGTTCTTCAGTCCAAGGACTTTGGGGGAAAGCCTTTCACCATCCATTTGCAAGAGCACTTTCTGAATGAATTCATAGTAGTACCTTAGCTCTTTGGGGTAAGCCATGTTCAGTGTATAGATGACTCCCAGCATGATGGCACAAGCTCGNTGAATTTGTATTGTGCTAAAATGCATTGTTCTTTTATAGTGGAAATGGAATGTTGGCGATTTGCCAAAGCTGTTCAAATTATCAATAAATGCATTTTTTATATATAAATATATACGGTGTGTTTGGAAATATTTCATTACACTATTATACATTATTATTATTATTATTATTATTATATTCTATTTAGCCCAATAATATAGTTATTTTCAATCACTTGCTTGGGTCAAATAAACAACCCAGCACATGGGTTAAGACAACCCAGCGTGTGTTCTGTCCTATAGTGACTCAGCAGCTGGGTTATGATTGGGTTATTTTTTAACCCAGTAGTTTTAAGAGTGTATATATTAATGCTGCCCATTATGGGCACAAGCAATTTTCACCCATTTATTAATTATATGTTTTAAATTTGACCCGTTCAAACCTGTTCAAATCCAGTTTTGGACAGTCTGCTGTGGTTCCATCCCATTTCAAAGTGCTGATCGACGCTCGGCGTAACCCTCGGAGCACACTCAAACATCCAATCACAGAGCTTGAGGACTATCACAGGGTTTGTCAAGCGAAGCGGAGAGAGTACTTACTTCAGGGTTAAAATTCTCAAAAGCAACTACTATGAGCTGCTCCGACCCTCGGTCCTGATGGACTCCAACTTGTGTTTATTAATCAAACAAATAAATAAACACAAGGATAATTATGTTTTATTCTTGAGTAAATAACAGTTTGTGGTTTAGAAAATAATACAAAATTAGAAGGAAAAAACGATGAAACAATAGGCCTACAGATTTCAGTATTCTGAGCTCCTACTCTCCCCATTACTGACGGCAACAAAAGTCCTACATTATTCAATTAAAATAAATAATTAAAAACAATAAGTGTGGCTTGATATTGAGTAAGAAAAAGGTTGATAAACGCTGTGAGAATGGATCTGCGGAGAGCATTTCGCCGCGATCCCAACTCGTCTATTACCAACGTTCAGGGAGCTCTATGCAAGTCAATGGGACGCCCTGCCCGTTGAAAACTGACTCAAGTACCCTGTGCATAATAGGGTGACAGGGAGGGGCCCTGACCGACCGTCAACATGTGACGGGTTGGGAGTGAGAACGTGTTGGGACATTCGGATATTCGGGTACAGCCCTATTATGTTATTGAGTTAAAATATTAATTTTGTGCCTTTCCAAGTTAACATTGATTGATATGACTGCGATGAAATCAGCATATACTTCTGCCAGGGGATGCCACCCCTCAAAATCTCCTGCCACCCTCTTGCCACTCCATGAATATTTGTCTAGATTCCCTGGTTTCAGCCAAACAAAATAACAAATACATGATATTGCAAGCCATGTTCATAGCTTCCCTTACAGCTCAACAACATGAAATGCTATTAATGAAGCTAAAATTATTCACTCTTACAAAACTTGTTTATGAAAAGGTTTGACTCACCAAAACCCCGTTGGTTAATGTTCTATAGCGTTCCCGACCGTGTGGATGGTATTTTTATCTTTTTTAAATCAACTTTGAATCAATTTGAATATAATTTACTCCGCTCGTCTCATCTGCTTCTCGCTCCGTTTTCCTCTCTTTTCTCCTGCTACACTGCGCTGCGCGTGCCCGGTGAGCAGAGAGCCCTTAAGGAACAGTACCTTGTAATTTGTCATACTACTTTTATTTATTATATTTTTAAAGGGATGATATCATTGACCAATTTTAAACGTGTATCTTTTAATGAAATAACTTTTTATGACTTTATGCTTACTATGTTTTAATGTGGGTTACACAAGGTTCAAATTTGGTTTCACTGTATATTACATTTGATCCTGTTAATCCTTGTTTTACATTACTAAGGTAACATTCCAACTTAGTGATTCCTACTCATGTTGACCTGTACTTTACATGTGTCCATCTCAACAAAAGACCCAAGCAGGCAGCCCATAGTACCCTTTGCGTTTTGTCAAGTACGTTCACAACCAAACCAAATTAAGTCTTGTGAAAGCATTCATAAAAACGTCTACTTTTCCCTGTATGAACCATCTTATAAAATGTGTTTTTCAATACTGTGTTTCAAATATGGGCATGACAAAAAAATCGTCATGGCCAGAGAGACGGGGATGTACAGTATGTAGAGAGCTTATTAGTGTGGGAGTTCATGAATAAGCCTCTATGCCTACGTGGGATTTTCTCTACATGCATAAAGTGTGTGCTGGCAGGTCTTTGTGTGTGTAGACTTGTGCATGACTTGTGTCTTTTATCTGTCAATTGGCATGTCTATGAAAAGTACAGGATTAACTGTAGTGACAGTGGTGCTGACAACGTTCAGTTTCACAGCAGCTCACACACTGACATTTCTGGAGAACGAGCATAATGTCATAACATAACATGCCCTGTGCATAAAAAATGAGAGGAATTTATTTCCCACCAAGAAAGGATTACATGGAGACACTGACGTCGAATTTGAACTATGGCAAAGTGAAGAAAGTGTGTGCAGGGATTAAACATAGAGATACATATGACTTTGGGTTCAATTTTCTACTCTAGGGAAGACATTTTATGCCTTATATTTCCATTTTCACACAGTTTTTTCTCTGATTATAAAGTTATTCCAACAAGTCTTCAAACTAAATGACATATCGTACTGGCTCACTGTTCCGCTACGCTGACTTTGCACTTTCTATAACGCAAACTGAGCATAGCTGAAGTTTGATATTTGTTTTCTCCATGCATGCAGATTTTGACAGATGGAAAGGAATGGATTTAGACATGTTTATTGAGAATGTGACAATTAAATATGATTGATGGTTGAGTACCAATATTGTACTCTTTCTCTCTCTCTGACCCATCTCAACTGTAACACAGCAGCCAATGGGACTTCAACGACCCGGAAAGAAGAGATTTTAACTCTGCTGAGAACTCGCAAGTCATCTCAAAGTCAGCTGAATGCAAATATAGAGGAAAATAGTCAGAGGTAAAGGAGGAAGATAGGAGTGATGGGGACTGACAGGTGAAGAGACACGTCTGGATGGACATATCATGTATGCTTATGTCAACCTGACCGTCCAAGGCATTGGCGGTCATGCTCCATTTATCAGACAGAATCAGAGAGGTGCTTGGTCTCCTCTCAATGGCTTTGTCTCATCCTGCTGTTTTAGTGATGATTAAGTTCCTTTTGAGATAGCTGCAATACGTGAGAAGAAGGTTAAGGACAGACAACCACAAAGAGGAAAAGAAAGAAGTTGGGTGTGCTTCACAAAATATAGTAAAATTAGATAGAAAAGTTTACTCTTATTGTCTTAAGTTTTCTTCCCTGTGTATTCAAAACCCAGGAGAATCCAAAAGCAAGAAGGAGTTTAAACCTGTAAATGGAAGGAAGTGGAAATAGTTTTCCATAGAGAGCTAAAATGAATAGCAATCAGAGCTGGGAAAGTAGTTGTGGAGGGCAAAAGTTAATAACACATAAAGAAAAAGGGGAAGAAGACTTGATAAGAAAAGGGGTTACGAAGGTTAGGTTTATGAGATATCATCACCTGCAACAGCATCAAAAAGCTTTTTAATCATAGTCTGAGAGATGTCAAACCATATTGCAGACATTCATCATTTCCCTCTATGTTCTTTTGTAGATAAAGATAACAATACGGCGAGTCATTACACAGGTGTCGAGATAAATCTTCAAACAGATTTCCACACTTTGTCGGCTTCTCTTCTAAGCCATACACTGCAGTCATTTAGATATGGCGCTATCTAAATGTAGGGACTTTTTGGAGTAATGGACGTTGAAAGTAATGTGCATTTTGAGAAGAGGCAATAGCTTCCCCTGAGGTTGATGCAGAGAAAAAACAAGTTCCGCTGTTGACCGACTGTTTCCTCCATCGCTGCCCTGGGCGAGTGTAGGGAAAAAATGCAAGCTGATAAAACAGTTGCAGTGTCTTTGCTTCCCCCTCTCTTTCTCTTCCCGTCTCTATCTTCTTGTTATCACTCTTCCCCTACCTCAGGGAGGTAAATGACTCTTCTGTGAAGGAAGAGTAGAGGCTGTTTGACCTTGAAAGCAAACCAGCATTCCTGAATAAATATTCAGTAGCTAAGGAGCAGTGGCGCGTGCCCTACCTCCTCCAGATAACAGGTTATGTATGAGGCAGATCTTTTTCTAGGCCCAGTGCTACCATGGCCAACAGAGGGAGTGTACTGGAAATTGTGATGTAGTATTACTTAACACAGGCCTTTTGACCTGATCAATTCACCAGTGCAACAGTTTAATGTCCATTATACTGTCAATCTTTGGCTAACTCACTGGAACACTAGATACAACAATAATTGTTGTTTTTCAGTGTGCTTTTCCTTCTATGACATATTTCAAAAAAGGCTGCCAGTGGCCAAGTCACCATTGATAAATAATGATGAATTTAGGTAAAAACACCATAAGACATCCTTTTTGTTGCGGTAAATTAGGTTTACTACAGTACAGTTCTCAGAATTTTTTATATTTAAAAAAGCTACTGTCCTGAGCTACTAGAGTGATACTGTCCTGCTGTTAACTGTTCAAACAGTAATGCTGGATTATATGCATGTCTAGTTTCCTTAATTTGAATGCAGCGGATGAATGGACTCCACAACAAAAAATGGAAACTACTGCAATATGTCTACAGGACTTATTTATAGACTAGCGACATGCTTGATGACATATTTGAATACAGGTGTGATTGATTGAACGTGTGTGTCTAATTAGTGCCTCTATACCTCCCATGTTATACAACTCAACCCCATAAATCCCCGGTCAGCTATAGTGGGGGGGCGCCAGGCCTCAGATGATTTGAGGTCAAATATCATATTTAGATTTTTTTTTTACATATAATTGTAACGCAATACATGATTGTCACTAAAAGCCTTGTCTCTACACTACAATAAAATATGAAAAATAATTGATTAATTAATATGAATACAAATTCAAGTTAGTAGCTATTATAGGCATAAAAAGACAGAAAATTATAATTCTTTCTTTAATAGAAATGTTTCTTCTGCGCGTAAAGTGTCCAAACCGGGCTTTTCTGGATAAGCACATTTTTTAAAACATAGTCATTGTCCATGCCGGTTTCAGTTGGATTATTTGTCACAGTTGCTCCGATCAGATCGGTCTCCTCCATTTTGTAGATTATTTACGACTTTTGAATCCACATAAACACATCGGCAAAATCCGGCTTACTTTGAGCATGTGTTTTAAACAGTTGAATCCCTTTGTGAATTGTTTCCACTTCCGCGCCGTCCTTTAATTTCTTCATACAGTGGGAATCCAAATGAATGAATCCTGAGTCCAATAACCATCAAAGTCACTCCAATAGTGCTCCTTAATTATTCTTTCATCCTCCTTTAACACAATACTTCACATTCATCCAGTTTGTGACAGTAGTTGTAGCATTTTTGAGACTTTTGAGACTTTGAAACTGTAATTACAACATTTACAGTTGTTTCCAGACAAATGATACTGTTGTTGTTACTTTCAAACTGCCCAGTAGATGTAACCATGTGTGGGTCATGTTACCTGCTCAAATGGACTCTTGGTCTTGATGCCTTTCCCTCCTACAAAGATCCAGTTATCACGGAATCCCAAGTTACTGACGATGGAGCTTCCCAGATCAGCAATGAGCTTCCTGGCCTCATCGTTGAGTCTACAGAACAAAGAAGACAGATATGATGTCATGGCCACATCCCAGCCGATAATAGAGACAGCTAGGCAACAAGAATCTAAACAGAATACTTACTTTGTTGCAGCATCATCGAAGGAGGCCATCATCACGATCGTCCCATCCTCAATTCCCTTCACTAGCTTAATAAGCGGAGCCACATCTGCACAAGGTTGGTAATTAAGATTGTTAATACAATGCTTTTATACAGTATATATTTGTTTTATGATTTCAAATGCACTCACCTCCACCCCACATATCAAAAAACGCTGTGTTGATAAGGTCCCCTGTTCTCCCTGTGGGGTAGAAATAGATGGGGTTGAAGCAAATGTGACATTAAACTCATAGTTATATTACGCAATCTTGGAGGTGGTTTATTTAGACCCTCCAGAAAAACGCAATTCTGCGATCGCATAATTTACCGCATAATCAGCAAAATGGCGCAGATTTTTAAAAGGCCGCATATTTATCAAAAGGCCGCATAATCCCCGCATTTTTCCACACAAAGTTGAGAAAAAAAAAAGTTAACTCGTCTTGAAGTGAAGTAGTGATGATGATGAGGTCATCAGCTCGCGCATCACAGAAGGTAAACAACACCGTAGAGTGAACGTGTGGAACTCACACGAGAGAGAAAACACCAAGATGAAAAATCTGATCCATCTCATTTACCGACGAACATTTCTGCTAAAGACCGGGCAAAGCAGTACCCCGATGTCTTTCACGAAAGTGGGGGGAAACTATTCTGCACCCCGTGCAACTGTGTGTTGGAGCATAAGTCTTAGAGAAAATCGACGGTGACGACCCACTTTGATTCATTCAAATATTCGAAAATGCTTTCTGCTGCTACGGACAAGAAAGCCAAACAACTCACGTTCACCGAGGCATCAACCTCCAAAACCCTTTCGAGGGCTACAAGAAACGAAGTGAGTAGCCTACAAGATTGAAGCTGGTCAGATAACGAACGAGTAAATGAAAACAGAATGAGGCGGAGAAGTGTGTGTGTGTGTGTGTGTGCGTGTGCGTGCGTGTGTGTGTGTGTGTGTGTGTGTGTGTGTGTGTGTGTGTGTGTGTGTGTGTGTGTGTGTGTGTGTGTGTGTGTATTAAAATAGCCCAATTGTTTTTACAATAAATAAACATTGAATGTGTTTAATTGAATAGTAAAGGGGTTTAACGTTAGTGGCAGGTTGTGTGTGAGAAAGAATAAATAAGACAGCCCAATATTTAAAAGAAAATCTATTATTTTTCTCAACTTTCCGCATATTTCGCAACTTCCCGCAATTTCACCGCATAAAATCACATAAAACCCCACATGTTTAATCGCATAATCAAGGATTTTAGCCCGCGTTTTTCTGGAGGGTCTAAATGTATTGCTGTCTATCCTAGGTTTAGCAAATCAAATGGCTACATATTTTCGTGGCACTGGTGTTGAACTGCTGCAGTATTGATTTGCTATCAGCAGCAGTTTCCTCGAGGCATGGAACTCTGATAATGTTACCATTTATCAGGGCGATGTTGATTCCTCTCCCCACGTTGTTCTTCACTCCGCTCATTAATCTAGCATAAAACAAAGGATGACAATGAGAAGAGAACACATTTTTTGAAATATAAACGTGTGATGAAGTCATGCCTCAGAGGTACATTATTGTGTTATAAACTGTTTTAATACATGTGTATGAAGAGATATGTTCCCAGACTTGGTGCATATCAGTTTGCCATCTTTATCAAACATTAGGTCTTAGGAACTTTTGAACACTTGATAATGGATAGTGTTTTAAAAAATGTCATAAAATACAATAGGCTGCAACTAATGAGAACTGTCATGATCATTTCATGTACTATAGTTTACGTTTGTATTATTGTTGGTCATGTTTCGCTATTCAGAAAATAATGATTTAATCTTCAAGATATTTTCAATTTGTTTTTACAATTCATTATTTTATGAGAACCTTTAAATCCTCACATTTGAGAAGTTCAAACCAAGCTGTTGCAAAGAAAACCACACTTAGGGCTATGTGGATAAGCTACTATGACAAGTATGCAAAGCTATGACAAGAAGTATGCAAAGGTTAACAAATTCAACTAGTGATTTGCTCTTTGTTTAATTCAATCCCACTCAAATCACAAATTCACTCATTCGTATTTTTATTTAAAGTGGTCCCTCGAGGATTCAAATTGAAATGAAAACCGTAATTTTTCTGCTAACTCAAATGTAAACTGTAAAGTGTATATTGTATTCAATGTTTACATTTTGGGAGTTTGATAGGCTGGACAAGCATAATGTGCACTTCCTTTATATTGTGTATTCAATATGTATACTCTATAGATATCCTACATTACTGGTATGTATATATGTTTGCGTATTTTGTTTATCTTCTACTGCTGTTATGTATATCTTTAATTTTTTCATTGTATTTACTTCTCATTGATGTGCAATGTCTCATTTATGCTTCTGTTGTGGAAACATTTCCCAAATTGGGATCAATAAAGTATCTTGATGACAAATAAAACCTAGTTTAAGCATAATCCACAAACATAAGAAGTCAAATATGTGCTCCTGTGTTTGCGAAGGTTTTAAGACGTGACTTCACGTACAGTTTGTCGTCCAGGCAGATCCTGGGCCCCACCACACTGGCTGCTCCACTCGCCATCTTGAAGGCCAAGTGTCCAGCGGGACACAACTTGGACATCCCACACTTGTACTTCAACGGCTTAATTGCTGTGAATGAAAAATAATGTACACAACACGCACCAGGTAGCTCACAGTCAGGTAACAAGTGGATCACATACACCTATACACAAACAGGTGCAGACACAGGGAGAATAAAAAGCAACGGTTTAACCTTTACTTAACCAAAGGGAATCTTTAGTATTTACACTAAAGCACTAAGCTAGGAACAAAACATTCAAATGTGCAGGGCTTCTTTTATCTGTGTGAGGCTCATTATTACCATTCCTGCATCAAGTGGTATAGAAAGAATTTAAAAAAGGAAACAAAAAAAGGAGGAACTTGTATCAGAAGTATCAGACATTAACAAACAAGCAAACAGAGGAAATAATACAAATGTCACAATACTTACATGCTTCATTCACTGGCATAGCTCTCGCTGAAAAGCAAAAAAGTATATAGGTTTTTAGGAGATTATCCATCGACAGCTCAATAATGCTCATTCAAACGCAGCTCTGTATGACTACTGCCTCAATAACATATTTGGTTTGTGAAATGTAAACACAGCCAAAAGGAAACACAAGGGCATATCTTAGATAAATGACTGAAATCCCCCCTTCACACTAACTGTTTGAACAGGTTTCGTGTTTCCTTAACAACTGATAACTCTCCCACTTCATTCTTTTGTTGGAGCACCTCAGGGCACTGTTGAACGTTGTGATTTTACTACAGCGAATGTTACTCACAGATCACACTGTTCAGATTGAAGTCCATGTTAATCTCCAGCAGTTGAAAAGCCAGAAAGACAGCTAGCAGAAACGCAAATACGAGTGCCGCAATCTTCAAAATACCTGCAATAAAAAGATAGACAAATGAATCAACATTTATGAAACACCACAAAATACTTTCCAATCCTGTTATACTATGGCGTATGCTGTATTTCTTAAAGGGGGATATACTTACCACCCGCCCTGACCATCTTTGGCTTCAGTCAGATGTTTACACACCAAACAACCTGTGATGAAAACATGTTACGGTTGCAACAATTAACCCTTTTTATTAGCAATCAACTCAAAATGAACACAACCATGTCAACAATATAGTTAGATAATGAGGCAATAGACATTTTTGATGAAAAAAATATATAATAACAATATGTACCATTGTTTAATACCTGTTTTTCTCTAATACATAACAGGAAACTAGAAAATAAAGGGTTTATTTTCCAAAAGTTGTGATGTCTAAATGTCCTCCCCAATAGCAATAGGGTGACATTAACCAATACAATGGGATTAACTTAAAATGACTTTCCTTTGGCTGCTAATAGTTGAAATAATACGATTTGCTAATGCAAGAGAAAAAGTTAGTAGGGTATTTTGAAGTCACTTTAGCTTCCTTGAATGAGTTATTACACTGTAGTAGGTCTTTATATTGCACTTATCTAGCCTGTATTGGCTGTATCATATTGTACATAGCGCTGAAGCGACACTTAAACATGCTAACTAGTAACTAGCATCCACTAGCATTTAACGTTAAGTGACGTTACGTTCACTGCAGTGTAACTTCCTCGTCTCTGCCTACGTTTGCTAAGTTACAACCTAAAGAACTCCAGCTGCGGGATTCTAATTGTAGTGTTATAAATCATTTTGAAGTAATACGTTGAAGTATTAGAAGTAATATTAGGATGAGGTTCACACCTTGCTTACCTGTGCAATTGCCACGGTAACCACGAATACTCGGTGCAGTTCACGAAACCAAAGTGAGTGATTCGTGTAATGACAGCTGAGATGTTAGAGGGAGAAGAGGCGGGAAGATGCTCCACTCTGTCGGAGAAATCAAAGAGCCTACAAACAGGCAGTTCTGTCGGTTCTTGTTTGATTGTTTTCTAGCTCTAAGCAGAATCTAAGAGCACGATTTTAACCCTTATTTTAAAAAATAAAACATTATATTTAAGTGAAATAAATACTAGATAATATCGATGAACCAAAACAACACTTTATCACAATTTCTCTTCCATTCAAAGCGGGTAGATGTTGTTTAAACCTTTATTCTGTTAATTTTGTATTTCATTTTTTATTGTTAACACGTAAAAACAGTTTTTTGACAAATATACAACTGTGAAAAAAAACAGATGTATTCATTTAATGTGGTATTTCTTTGCATTATGGTAATATGGGAACTTATGCTAAGCAGCTTAGCCTTATTTGTTTTTTAATGCTATTGTGTAAATGTGTTTGCTGCTGTGGTCAGCAGATGGCTATTTGTGAGGCTCAAGCTAAGATGTTGGTGTGATGATGTTTATTTTTGTGAAATTGTGCCTTAACGCAAACGCATGCACATTTCTTTCATATATTTCAAATTTTTCTGACTCTCTGTAAGAGTGGGCAGGTTTTTACGAGTGAGACATCTTACTATTAAGGGATCTTTGTTTCCTTCACCCTGACTTCCTGCTTTTTCTTCTTCCCTGTTCGCTTCGAAGCATATGGGATGGCGTTACAGCGCCTCCAGTCTCCTGTTTGATCGACCCAGAGATTTATTGTAAATGTAAGAATCATCAGGATGTATTTAACTGTAAGAAACATATAATAATAGTTTTTTTTATATAAATGCACATTTTTAGGATTATTCATTTGTTTTCACATTAAAAGAGAAAGTAAATGGTGGTGCAAACAGAGAAGGAAATTACAATTTAAAAAAACTGCACAAATCATAAGATTAAGCAAATAAAACAGTGAAATGGCGCAAGCTCAATAAATAAAGACATTCTCATGCTTGTCCTGCAATCCTTAGAACCCTCCATGGTGAGTAAAACATTATTCCAACAAAAGGCATTGTGCAGTTTTTTTCAGCTCTGCTGGAGGAATTTGAAAAGTTCATTGAATCCATATAAATGGGTCACGTGTCATTCAATAAGGTCCTGGAAAATAAGAACAACAACGTATAAATACACATGGTAAAATCACATAATCTTTCAAGTTAAAAAGCAATATATAAAAAGTTATAGAATAAGTGATAATAGCTCTTACGTCGTCTGAGTCCTGCGGGCAGACTGTGCCGTTGCTGCTGGTGGCGCTTTCAAGGTCCACAGTGATGCTGTTATCTTCATCCTGAATCCGGAGGTTGGAGAAACGATACACTGGGGAACTGTAGATGAGGACATGAAACCAGAGTGGTCAGCTACCATTGGGTGCATAAAGGTGGACATGCAGATGTGTGTGTGTGGCTACCTGGTTCCTTGAACCACCCCTTTGACAGCGATAATGGCGGAGACGATAACTACCAACACGATGACTCCTGCTCCGGCACACACCAGGATCAAAACTAGCCTCTCCCGCTGGAATAAAACACAATAACTGTTATTTTCCACAAAAAAAAATCAAGAACAACTGAAGGTGCGCACACACATTCGTTAGAGCAACAACTGACCGCTGTGTCAAAGTGTGTGATTGGAGACGGGGACCTGGCAGGTGGTGGTCCGAGGCTGGGTTTAACACCACAGGGTCTGATGACTGTCTGCACTGCCAGCTGGAGATTGAATCCCCCCTCACACCGATCACTCGGGACCTTACGGTACCTACAAACACAGTCAGACGTGTGTGAGCATGTAAAGGAGTCCTGTTTCCTCTTTTTAAAAAGGAGAGACTGTTATTACCCAGCGGTCAGAAGCTCGTCCTCCTCTCCATTCAGACAGAGCTCCAGCGTTTTATTTCCAGCGTTCTGTCTCACACACTCTGACGTGTTCACGTGGCGATAGTAGCCGTAATCACTGTTGTGAAATACAGGTATTATTTTCCATGAAATTTGGGGTTTGAGTATGTCATGATATCTAGAATCTAAAAAAAATGGACTTAGGCCTACCATACGTAATCTTCTCTGGTGCACAGGCAGGGGCTTTGCTTCTTGCTAACCACAAAGCCTCGGCCATTTCTGCACACAGATTTCTTCTTTAGCCTCCTGTAGGTCTCTTTGACACCCAGGAGACAACCCTTTCTCTTCAAGTCTCCTTCATCTGTAGCATGAGCCAACCACTCCTCATAGTCCTGGTCATTACCTGAAGAATCAAAGCATCATCAACAAAGAAAAGAGGCTAGTTGTATGTGACCTGGCAATACTTCAAGTGGATTTCCAAACCAGGTAACCCTTGTAATGCATATGCTACATTACTAGAAGTCTGGCCAAAATAGGCAAAAATAAGAATCTGCAACCGCACCACTAGATGGAGCCACATCCTACAAACTGTTACTTTACGTCTCACAGGCTCTTAGTAATTTGACTATGGAAAGTCCCAGGTCGTGGCTTGTTTAGTTTCCGTAATGAGAAACTTCTATAAGGCTCCACTTCACTGCTGACGCACCTACCCCCAGGGAGTGATATATGTGAGCAGGGGGGAGTATAGATATTGTAAAGAAGGCCTTTTGACTCACACTCTCTTGTAATGAGGCTCTGAAAATCGATGGTGACGACCACCCACATCGGCTGGCCGTCCTCCTCAGGCCTGAACCCCCACACGCTGACGTTCATGGCCTTAGTCCCCGGCTCAGACGCCAGGCCTGCGAAGAAGAAGGGCTGCTCGGTGAAGTTATACGACTTCCAGCACTGTCCCTCGTCTGTGGAGAACCTGGTAACAAGAAAAATAGCAAATGTTAGAATAATAATAATACTGGTTTCAGTGGGCATAAAGTCAAAGGATCCGCTCAGTACTTGATAGTCTTGACTTGTCCTTCACGCTTAGTCTCCACAGCCACAATGAGACCCCCAGAGTCCAATATGCTGTAGTGGTGAGGACCCTTCAGTGTCCCCCTCCAGTTATAACCCCCGTCTGAGGAGACAAACACATCAGGGTGCTGCGACGATGACAGAGAGTCACCCACTGTACCTGGAGAAGAGAGAAGATCACAAAATAATTATAACTTAAGAGTCAGAACAAGTTAACCAACATATCCAAATGTTGTCATAATTGGAAAAGAAAAGGCATTACTGTTGAATTACCATGAGCGATGACCAGGCCGATAGCAGTGGGCTCAGACAGAGCCAGCATGGGAACGATGCGGTTCCTACGACTGTGCTCTCCATGAATGTGAAGGTTGCACTGGGAAAAAACACATGTGATGGTTCAGTGACACAGACTAACCTGTACGATAGTAAGGTAAACACGTAGTGTACTGTAAGTGGGCACACCGGGTTTTACTCTTTCTCTGATTATAACATACATTCTTGACCTGATCTTCACATTCCACATTCTCAGGTTTGTTAAGCTGTCTCCACATCCCTCCTCTATTAAAGGAAATGACAGATCTTATACGGCCATCTGCAAAAAAAACACATGAAAGTAATACTTCAGTATTTTCTCAAACTGAAAAAAGTGATTAAATGGTTGTGTGACAGGTTAGCTGAAAGGCTGGCATTGTTGTACTTTTTTTATTGTCGAAAAATCCCATTATAGGACAAAAACCAGCAATGTTTACATTACAAAATAACCTTTTTCATATTTGTGAAGGCCCAAAATAGCTGTGCACTGTAGTTCTTAACAAACTTAACTCAACATAAGTAAGTATTGCATCTGTATTTTGCTTTTGGGGGAACTTTTTTCAAGTACTGGTGGAATAATAAACATTTGATGGGAGTATTTAAAGTAACTTGCCCGTGTTCATATTGATCAAGGAACATGTCACCCATTGTGTGGCTCAATAATGCATTTGTAATAGTTTTGGACCACAACATTAAAGGGATAATACATTTCACACTAAGATTATAATTTTTTTTAGTTGAGCAATCACATTAGTTTCCACACAAAAAAACCCTACCTTTGTCTAGTTTATTAGTCAGGTAGACTCCTCTCAGTGAAGTGATGTTGGTGAAGTCGCTCTTCCTGTGCCCCTCAAACAGGTGGCGCTCCAGTGATTTGGAGAATAAGATACCGCGATCATCTGATGTGTACATGGTTCCAAAGAAGGTGTCTGTGGGGAAACAGCAAACCGCAGGAAGACTTTAGTAAGGCACAAGGGTCGAAGTTAGCCAGTAGCATATTTAGTTTGATGGAAATACATGATTGAAGGCAGTCCAAGCAGACGTCAGGAATTATTAAGTACAACACTTTCAAAATGTGCGATCTTATCAAAGGCTTCAGATTGACTTTTTCAGCTCTGTTCCGCTATATGAATGCGGTCCATTTACCATTTAACATTCGGAAATCAATGTAAAGGGTTCAACGTTTCAAATGACACTTTGCATGTTCATCTAAAGTGGTTATTTGGAAAACTATTACTTCCCACACTTGATTTCACAACAGCAAGTAAAAAGTAGCACCACCAAACTGGCACCTGCCCAAGACAGACTTATGACGAGCCCCCAAATATGTTACGGCCTCAGCGTAAAACAGCATTTTATGACTCAGGTTGTGGCGAGCAACAAATGTTTCACATACCAAAGCCAAGGGAGTCTTTCATTTTTTATTTCATTCAAACGAAATCCAACACACAGTCCCTTTGGGTCTCATAGGTTCTTGGAAATGTGAGTCAGGGGTTTTTTGGTACAACATGGTGGTTATTTGAAAACTACTGCTTACGTAACACCAATCATTTTTAGTAATCAGCTGTAGTCTGTTAACTTTAGTTGAGGCTCAAAAAATGACATCCATAGAAAAGTTTGGTCTCATTGTAAACAGGAAATTTAACTCTTCTTTTTTTGGAGTGCACTTTTCTTCGTAGGTCAATGTCCTTAATTGAATGTAGTGAGGTGTGTCACCTTACCAGACTAAGCACCTGGCAACAAGTAATCGCTGACACACAAACATCAG